GAGTCGTTCGGGCCCCTCCTTGTGGTGTGAGTCGTTCGGGCTCTTCGTGGTGTGAGTCGTTCGGGCCCCTCGTCCTGGTGTGAGTCGTTCGGGCTCCTCGTGGGGCCTCTTGGGGGCATGTTGGAGCCTCTTGGGGCCTCTTGGGGGCCTCTTGGGGGCCTCTTAGGGGCCTCTTGGGCCTCTTGGGGGCCTCTTGGGGGCCTCTTGGGGGCCTCTTGGGGGCCTCTTGGGGGCCTTTTGGAGGGCTCTTGGGAGGCTCCTGGGGGGCCTCTTGGGGCCATCTTGGGGCCTCGTGCGACCTCCTCAGAAGCGCCAAGGAGCGCTGCCCCCTGAGAAGGACGAAATGAGCCCAAAACCTTCGTAAAATCAATGATGTTGCTATGAAGGAAGATGAGCGCGGCCCCCTCAGGAGGCCAAAATGGAGCCAAAACCGTAGTAAAATCAATAATTGTGGCTTCAAAGAAGAGCAGAGGGGCCTATCTGCGCCCCCCCGTCGGGGCCAGAATCCTCGTGAGGGTCGTCGTTTTTTAACCCTCCCAGGAGTCGGAAAAGACCCCTCCAACGACCCGCGGAACCCCCTCTCCAGGTCCAGGGGGAGGGGGGAGGGGGGAGGGGGAGGGGTAAACCCATCCCCGAAGGGGAAGAAGGGGGGTTGAGAACAGAGAGAGCTCCCTAAACCACTCACGCCCAAAGGGCTGGTGGGATTAACCTGATCGTGCAGTCCCCAACCGAAGCACGGCTTAAAACTCGCCTTCCCGCCTCGCCGCCTTCTGAGGAAGGCTCCGAAGTTCCTCCTCCTTCGGGCCCTCGGGGTCCACCGTGAGGGATCCTCTTGGGGCTGAGAAGGGGCCATTGGCTGGGTTGGGCTCAAAAAGGGGGCACTCATATCTTGAGGGCCTGGAATCTCCTCCTTGGATTGCGTCTCAGATCCGTCCTCGGCGATCTCCGTCGGCGAGAACGGGCTGGATTGGATCGTCTCGGCCTTCGCCTGCATGGACTGCTCCGTCGGGATGGGCGACTAGCTCCTGCCAGTCGCGACTGGTGTATTGGTTCCCCCCACTGGCGTCGTAGGCGCTGCCGCTGGTCCTGACGATGCTGCCGTGGTCGACGGGAACGATGATCCTGACGCTGCTGCTCCTGAAGGGTCTTGTGGTGGCGGCATGTGCGGGGGCGGTGGCATGCTTCCATTCGGCATCATCCCCGTCACGTGAAACCCCACCGCTGCTGGCGTAGCAGCCTGAGGCATCGGAGCCTTGGGCTGGAGGTGGCCTACGATGATATTCATCTGCGCCTCGGTAGCCTGCTGCCTCTCGATCATGAAGTTGATCAAACGCTCCATCTGGTCTACCTTCTGGTTGTTCTGTGGTGGCGGCGGCGGCGGCTGCGGTGGGGAAGGCGCTGCTTCTCTGGCTGCCTGTCTCGCCGCGTGTGCCGCCTTCGATCTGTCGACGCATGCGTCCACATTGGGCCATGCGCTCGTCGGCGGGGGCATCGGGCCTGGCATCTGCCTGGGTCCATACGTGTTCTCCGCCGCCGTCGTGTCGGGGTGCGCTCCTGCCGCGTAGGTACGCGGCTCCTCGTCCATCTCGCTGCCGACCTGGTAGTCCTCCAAGTCCTCTAGCTCCTCGATGGACTTCTTCCACAACACTAGATCACGCTCTGCTTTACTCCTCTGATCTCCTGTCTCCTTCATCTTTGTAGTCAAGGTCTTGATGCGATTGATACACGTATCACGCTTCTGCATGAGTTCGGCCAAATGGTCGGCAAGTCGGACTGTGGTACCCATCATGTATTTGAGACACGCAATTTATTTCATAAGCATAGTGTCGTCCTTACCCGCTTTCCTCGCGACGATGACGAGACGGGCGATGTCGTAGAGCCTCCATTTGGTGCGTTCCTTGTACTCTTTGATGGCCTGCGTGTCGGAGGGGGCCACATCGTAGCCACAATCACGTATGTACCATGTACCACTGGGCGTCCGAGGTGCTCATGGGGATGACGCGGCCGATGAACTGCTTGATCTCGTGTTACTCCCTCTTGATGTCTTTCTGGGCGTCGCGGGGACGGCTAGGCTGACGGGTGCCTCCAGCATCTCGTGCAGGGCGCGGGTCACGAAGGCGGCTTGTCTGGCGAACCTTGTTGTCGAAGTGGTTGCCGCACAAGCACCTCCAATGGTGCGCTTTCACATAGCGGCCGCAGCCGCAATTCCACTGCTGATGAGGACCACCCACCACACAATTCCCTTGGCGAGGACCAAACATCTTATGCAAGGGGGAGCTGTGGTGGGATCTAAGTAGGGCTTGGGCCTTGTACAGAGAAAGGAGAAGTCGCGCCTGGTGGCGCTTGGCGCGCTCGCGCCAGTGCCCACTAGGCTCCTTCGTAGTGATGTACGGTAAGGAGCGTGGCCAGCCTCACTGGCGGCACACCTGGGGTCAGGCCTTCTCCTGGGCCAAACGCCTCTCCTCCTCCTCCTCCTCCTTCTCCTCCTCCTCCTCCTCCTCCTCCTCCCCCTCCTCCTCCTACATTTCTACATTTCTCGCTATGCAGCGTCTGGTCGCGCGCCCCGCGGGCGCGGAGCGCGCCGCAGCGGCCCTTCAGGGCCGTGCGGGCACTCGGACAGCGGCCCCGGGAACCCGACCCCGAGGAAAGCAGAGGGAACCAGGGACCAAGTTAAACCTCAGCGGAGAGAGAAGGGGGCCGGGCTTCAGCAAAAGAAAAAAGGGGGCCCGTCAGGGCCCACGGGCGGGCGCCGCGCGCGCCCGCGCCCGCGGGCGTCAGGCAGCGCGGCGCACGGCCAGGCCGTCGGCCTCTTTGTGGGCTGGCGGCCGCGTGGTGGCGGCTGGGCTCCCTTCGGCGCCTCGCGCTGAGCCCAGCCGCCGTGGGGTCTTCGGGTGGCTGGCTGCCCCCAGCTGCGGCGGCCTCCACCCTTCGGCGCAGCGCGCTGTGGAGGCTCGCCGAGCCGCTCGTGGGCTCCAGCAAGTCTGCAGCGGCTGCTCTCGTCATTATGCCGATCAGGGCCGGCTGGCCTCGGCCCCTCGCATGCCACGCGAGGGCGGCGGGAATACACCCTTCGGCGCCTGGCGCTGTGTATCCCTCGCCGAGGGGCGCTCCGCCCCTTCTCTTCGCGTAGTCCATGATGTGCTCCCCTCCTCCTCCTCCTCCTCCTCCTCCTCCTCCTCCTCCTCCTCCTCCTCCTCCTCCTCCTCCTCCTCCTCCTCCTCCTCCTCCTCCTCCTCCTCCTCCTCCTCCTCCTCCTCCTCCTCCTCTCTCCTCCTTCTCTCCCCTCTCCCTCCTTCTCCTCCTCCTCCTCCTCCTCCTCCTCCTCCCTCCTCCCTCCTCCTCCTCCTCCTCCTCCTCTTCTCCTCCTCCTCCTCCTCCTCCTCCTCCTCCTCCGCCTCCTCCTCCTCCTCCTCCTCCTCCTCCTCCTCCTCCTCCTCCTCCTCCTCCTCCTCCTCCTCCTCCTCACGCCACGGTCTCGACGAACAGCGAAAGTGACCGCGGCCTCGGGGGTGGGGCAGCGAGACCGAGGTGAAGCGGAGCCCCCCAAACGGGAAGTCGGTTTCGGTTCGCGTGGTGCGCGACGCGCGTGCAGGCGAGACGAGGCGAAGTTGCCCGACTTCCCGCCCTAGCTAGGCCCAGGTCACGCCAAAATCGGTCGGTCCCTTTTTTATGCGATTGTTCCATGGTTGTCCCGTGGTGTGTTTCGGGCGATGCTGCACGAACCCCCTCTTCGGCCCCCCTCTTCTCGGAGGAGGGCCAGTTGAGACGCCGGCGACTCTCCCGCCCAACCCAAATGCACTCAAAATCTGTCCGTGGACCTTTCTCGGGGTCAATCCCGATGCGTTTTTTCGAGGCGGATCCAGCCGTCGCGACGCGAGCCCTCCAGAGTCCATGAGGCCCCCAACAAAATCATGACGCCAGGGAGGGCCGCCGTTACACTGTGGCACATCGCCCTCTCCCAGGCATCCCACGATGGAATGTCTTCAATGCGAGGTTCCAGAGCTCCCGACCCCTTCCCAGGGGGCAGGCTTTCGCCCCAGATCCATTCGTGATGGTCCCTATGGCCCGAAAACTTGCCCCAGAGGCCGAAATCGAGAAAAGCGCCGGGACTGAAAAAGCAGACCGTCGGAGGTTTGGGTTTTTCTTGGCCCCCATCGTCGGCGCACCCCGAGGCTAGGGGTCGCGGTAGGGGGAGACTCAGGGGGGACGCATCGACCCCCCAACCGCATGTTGATCGCCGAGGGGGGCCCAGCGGCCCTCCCCGCCCAGTAACACGCGGTTTCGCTGTCGCGATCATATGGCCGATCAATCGGCGATGGATCGCCGATTCCAGGACGATGTTCCCCACCCCTTGGCCAGTCCCCCCTTGTCGTTCCCCCTCATCCTGCCTCCGGCGGCGAGGAGGAGCAGGAGGAGGAGGAGGAGGGGGAGGAGGAGGGGGAGGAGGAGGAGGACGAGGAGGAGGAGGAGGACGAGGAGGAGAAGGAGGAGGAGGAGGACCCCCCCCTATGGGCTATCGGGGCATACCCCCGACCGATCGGCGATGTATTATGGCCCATACCCCCCCCCTCGTCCGATATGTGGCGGCATGCACGTGCTTTTCCAATACGCTGGGTGGTCTTCTCAAGAGTCGTCTCCTGGACTTGTCTTGGGATGCGCCATGGCCAGGATCTCGAGAGGAATCCAGCTGAGGTGGCGAGAACGATCCAAGAGACGCAAAATCAGCCCAAGATCTTTTTTATCCTCGACCATCGATCTTCGAGAGTGTGACTTCCTCGGCACTCTGGCAGGAGAGCAGTGGAAGAAATCATCGTCTGGCCTTCGGGTCATAGCTCGGTTCCCGTCTGGAGGGATTTGGCCACCCCCAGAACGCCCTTGGCGAGGCGCGGTTGTTGGAAAACATCACGAGGCAGGAAAAAACGCCGAGAACCGACGAAAACGCACGACCGAATCGAACCGCCCCAGCGCACCCGACTGCGACGCAGCGGGCTCTCTGGCAGGAGAGCAGTGGAAGAAGGCGCCGCACGGGGCGCGGGAGCTCGCGCGCGGGCTCCTCCAGGTGGACCCGGCGAAGCGGCTGAGCGCGGCCGCGGCCCTGCAGCTGCCGTGGCTGCGCCAGGACGCCAGACAGGAAAAGTCCCAGAGGGGAGCGCCACACTCCGAGACCTCCGACGATGTCTTGTTTTTCTTAACGGGCGCTTTTCCTCGATTCCGGCCTCCGTGGCCCGCCATGGTGCCCCGTGACAATCAAAAACGGATGCGGGCGGAAAAATTGTCCATGGGGTCGGTCGGGGATCGCTCCTCCTCCTCCTCCTCCTCCTCCTCCTCCTCCTCCTCCCTCCTCCTCCTCCTCCTCCTCCTGCTCCTCCTCCTCCTCCTCGACCTCCTCCTCCTCCTCGTCCTCCTCCCCCCCCTCCTCCTCCTCCTCCTCCTCCTCCTCCTCCTCTCTTCCTCCTCCTCCTCCCTCCTCCTCCTCCCTCCTCCTCCTCCTCCTCCTCGTCCTCCTCCTCATCCTCCTCCTCATTCTCCTCCTCCTCCTCAACCTCCTCCTTCTCGTGCAATCCTCCCCTTTCTCCTCCTCCTCCTCCTCCTCATCCTCCTCCTCCTCATCCCCCTCCTCCTCCTCCTCCTCCTCCTCCTCCTCCTCCTCCTCCTCCTCCTCCTCCTCCTCCTTCTCCTCCTCCTCCTCCTCCGTGCTCTGATGACCCCTGGGCCGGGCGTGGGCGCGTGGAGGCTAGAAGCGGCGAAGAAAGTTAGTTTTTTTTTGTTCTGTTGCTCAATTTCATGATTCCTTGGGCCTGGCGAGGACACCCGGAGGCCGGACGCGGCGAAGAAAGTCCCGCCATGCTTCGTCGCGACACGCTGGCCGCGTCCCAGTTCCCAACCGCCAAGGCCCCGAGCCTGTCCCAGCTTCCCGCGGAGCGGAGCGACACGCCATCAGCTCGCAGGGCACGGCGTGTCGCCGGGGCCGCCGCCGCGACACGCTGAGCAGGGGCTGGCCAGCGGGGGCGGCGCGCGGTTGCACGCGCGCGTCGCCGTCTCGTGCCCACACCTCGTCGTCGTCCTCGTCGTCGTCCTCGTCGTCGTCGTCGTCGTCGTCGACGTCGACGTCGACGTCGACGTCGTCGTCGTCGTCTTCGTCGTCGTCGTCTTGGTCGTCGTCGTCGTCGACGTCGACGTCGTCGTCGTCCAAAGCCACCCCTGCCGGCAGGACGGCGGCCAGGACGAGGCGGACCCCGAGCTAGACGGAACGCGCTCCCACCCCCTCGTGCGGAACTCGAGCAGGCCGCCGCCGCCGGGCCGCTGCGCCTCAGCCCCGCCTCCGAGCGCACGCGGAGCTGCGGCCCACGAGCGGGCGGCAAGCCATTGCCCAGGGGGAGGAGTCGGCCACGCACAGAGCCCAGACCTCCTGGAAGAACAAACAAAAAAACGACGGGAGATTTTTCATTTGTTTCGACCTCCGGGGGCCATTTTCGGGCCTGGGGACCGTCAACAAAAGACTCAGGATGAAAAAGCCGGTCCCAGGGAAAGGGTCCACCTTGGGGGGTCGACGCTGTGAAAAGTCACGACGTCGAGGGGTCTGGGAGGGGGGATGGGGGAAGGCTTCTCAGAAGCACCCGTGCTTCTCAGAAGGCGCGGGCCTTGTCTATAGATATAGGGCCCGAGCTTTCTGGGAAGCAGTCTCTCCTTCGAAGAAGCCCTCCCCCCTCCCCCCACCCCCTTGCGCACGCCGCCAAGCTGGGCTCGGGTGGGAACGCATCGACCCCCCCGTCGCGCATTCGTCGATCGCCGAGGGAGCGCAGGCATGGGCTGAGGCGCGTGGATTTCCGCGGCGGGTCCCGGCTCCTCCGTGCAGAAGCGGCGCGCTCCGTCGCCCAACGAGGCGGCCCTCCCCCCACCCCCTTCAAGAACGGCCTCGCTTCTCCTGAAGCTCCTCCTCCTCCTCCATCCTTCACCTCCTCCCTCCTCCTCCTCCTCCTCCTCCCTCCTCCTCCTCCTCCTCCTCCTCCTCCTCCTCCTCCTCCTCCTCCTCCTCCTCCTCCTCCTCCTCCTCCTCCTCCTCCTCCTCCTCCTCCTCCTCCTCCTCCTCCTCCTCCTCCTCCTCCTCCTCCTCCTCCTCCTCCTCTCCTCCTCCTCCTCCTCCTCCTCCTCCCTCCTCCTCCTCCTCCTCCTCCTCCTCCTCCTCCTCCTCCTCCTCCTCCTCCCTCCTCCTCCTCCTCCTCCTCCTCCTCTCCTCCTCCTCCTCCTCCTCCTCCTCCTCCTCCTCCTCCTCCTCCTCCCTCCCCCCTGCCCCGTCGCACGCGCTGCCAAGCTTGGGTCGGGCATGTCCCTCTCCAGGAGGGATATGCAAGAATAGGAAAAAGATGGTCTGGTGACGATTGATCCTGCTTTTTAAATTCTGCTTTTCGCTTGTTTGTTGACCTTGTTGTAGATTTCCTTTCCAGATCGCCTGTAGGAGGGCATGCCCGACCCAACGCTAAGCGGAGGGAGAGGGCGGACCCAGGCCTCCAGCGCGTGGCAACCGAACATATACATATATAATGGGTTATCTCAAACTTAAGTCGGGCCTGTCCCTCCACAGGAGGCACATTCAAAAATAGTCAAAAAATAGTTTGGGGGCGATGCTTCGACTATGTTTGAATTTGCTGTTGGCATGTTCGGGTAGTACTTTTATTTTTCGTCCAAAATCGGCCTGTAGGGGGGACACGCCCGACCTAAAAGAAGGCCCTCGCAGAAGGCGGCGGGCCTTCTCAGAAGCCCTCGCGCCTTCTGAGAAGTTCTCTGCGTCTTCGGGGAAGGCTGAGGAAACTTCTCAGAGGGCGGCGGGCCTTCTCAGAAGCCCTCGCGCCTTCTGAGAAGTTCTCTGCGTCTTCGGGGAAGGCTGAGGAAACTTCTCAGAAGGCGGCAGGCCTTCTCGGACGCCCTCGCGCCTTCTGAGAAGTTCTCTGCGTCTTCGGGGAAGGCTGAGGAAGCTTCTCAGAGGGCGGCGGGCCTTCTCAGAAGCCCTCGCGCCTTCTGAGAAGTTCTCTGCGTCTTCGGGGAAGGCTCAGGTTTCGGAAGGCGGCGGGCCTTCTCAGAAGCCCTCGCGCCTTCTGTGAAGTTCTCTGCGTCTTCGGGGAAGCTGAGGAAACTTCGCAGAAGGCGGCGGGCCTTATCGGACGCGCTCGCGCCTTCTGAGAAGTTCGCTGCGTCTTCGGGGAAGGTTCTGGAAACTTCTCAGAGGTCGGCGGGCCTTCCGAGCCATCTGAGAAGGCCCGCCCCTTCTCATTTACCCCCATGCTCGCCGCCAGTTGAGGGGTGTCCAGCATTGAGCTCCGCGTGGCCCTCGGAGCGGAGATCGCTCATGTGTCCACATGTCCGGGCAGAGCGTGGAGCAGGAAAAGTTCGTGAGGGGCGTGCCAGAGTGGCAGTGTCGTAGCCATGAAAGGGCTGGCCACTCGTAGGCTCACCCGTCCCAGAACAATGTCAGACAGGACATGCGGGAGGGGCGTGCCGAAACGAGGCTCTCGCAGCCCTCAGAGAACACATCTCACTCGTGTTGTCTCGTGTCCCACGAGCTGTCGCGCGCGTGGGCCTAGCACTGTGAGCACGCGTCACCATTAGTTTAACGTGTCCCCGGGAGAACTGAGAAAATCGGCCGGCGGAGTGCGCGAGGCCGCTCTCAGCATGCCTCTCAGCATCCTCCATGCCACCTTGATCTCGTCATCTTCTCTCGAAGTTCAACACGGCGAGGGCCCGCAGGGGGCCCGTTCAACTTCATCGTTTCGCTCATTCGGCCAGCCCACCTGGCGTGGTTGGGTCGTGAACAAAAGGCCTTTTAGGGAGGCGTCTTGGAGTCTGTAGGGCGGCCTCTTGGAAGCATTTTTGGAGGCTCCTGGGACCTTCAGGGGCCTCTTTGGAGGATCTTACCGGCCGTGGGGGCCTCTTTGGGCAATCTTTTGGAGCAGGGGGCCTCTGGTGGGCCTCCTGAGGGCCTCTTGGAGCCCTCTTGAGCCTTCTTGGGAGGGCCTGGGACGTTTTGGGACCCTCTTGGGCAGTTTGGGGGCCCTCTTGGGAGCCTATTGGGCTGTCTAGGCGCGATCTTGGAGGCCTCCTGGGCAGTCGCAGCCGCGGAAATACGAAAACGCTCAAGTTCTTCCAAAACCTGCGGAACTTCAGTGAGTTTTGCCTCTTGGAGCTCTCGTGGGCGCCTTGGGCACCTCCAGGGTCGGCTGGGGTCCACCTGGGCCTGTCTTCGGGCGCTGCTGGCCCGAGGCTTCGTGGAGCCTGCCAGCCACTCGGAGCGCTCCGGGAAGGCGCCCAGGCCGAGAGTCATCTCTGAGTCGCTGCGTCCGGGATCTCTTCGCCCGTGGACCCCCAAGAGGCAGCTGCGGGCGCGGGAGCTTGTAAAATATCCGAAGCTCTTGCCAGAGGTTTTAGCACGCCTCTGACCCGTTTGGCCGGCGACAAATGCTGTACGGTAGGTTTGCGTCGTGTCGACCGGCGGCGACCCCAGCGCGGGCGTTCAAGGTTGAACGCCGGCGGCGGCCCAGAATCGGTCGATGTTGAACGATTGGACGTTGCGGAAATGGCCGATCGTTCAAGGTTGAACGATCCCTGCGGTGTCAAAAACCAACGCCGGGGTCGACACGACACGAACCTGCCGTAGACATATACTATGAACACACACGCGCCCCTCCCCCAGAGCCCCGCCAACCTCCGGAACACATTCGGCGAATCCCCTGTACCGTCTTCCTGGGTTTCCAAGAACACCCAGGGAGGGCCTGACGACGGCTCAGGACGCTCCCGAGACAGGCAAGAGTGCTCCAAGATGTCCCACGACGACTTCCCGACAGCCTAAAAGACCAAGGAGCCCCCTAAGACCACCCGAGAGGGCTCCAAGAAAGACTTCGTGCTTGGCATCGCTCGGGCGTGTGCATTGTTTCTCGGCGACGATCATCGAGGAGCATCCTGGATTCTCTTGCGAAAAAACACGCAAGGAACCTAAACATGTACGGGGAATGGACGTCCGAGCGATAGCGAGTACGGGAAATCAATGATGTTTGCCTTCCCGCTTTTTCGTTTCCGAGGCTGCCGGCTGACCCCCCAAGAGGACCCCGAGAGCTTGCGAGAAGCGCCCCGAGCCGCCCCAAAGAGAGCCCAAGAGGCTTCAGGGGACTCCCGAAGAGGCGCCCGCGAGGCCCCGAAGGTGCGTCCAAGAGGCTCCGAAGAGCCCGCGGGAGACGCCCAAGAGGCCCCGAGAGGCTCCCGCCAGGCCCAAGAGCCTCCAAGCGGCCCCCGGGGGGGGGCCCAGGAGGCGCCCCAAAGAGTCTCCAAGAAGGCTCTCCCGACGCCTCCGGGAGGCCCCTAGGCCCTAGGAGACTCCCACGAGATCTCGAAGAAGGTGGGTGAGGAGCAGAGCTGGAGGATGGTAACGGCGGAAGAGGGGGAGAAGGAGGAGGAGGAGGAGGAGGAGGAGGAAGAGGAGGAGGAGGAGGTCCGTAGCCATTTTGGCTCAAGGCCGTTGCCCAAAGCCACCCTCTGTCGTGGTCGTTGAGGGTGTACTTGGTGAGGGCCCGAGGGCCCTTGCAGAGGGGGACGCACCCCCTACCTGGCGGAGGCCAGCCACATCCTTCTTTCTGGCAACCGACACCAGGGAGACCGCGATGCCTGGCAATGCTACTGGCGGGCAGAAGCGTTCTGTGGGAGACACGCCGCCGCAAGCTAGTCGTGCTGGTGATGCTGGCAATCATGATTGTACCTTTCCTGGCAGCGGCTCAGATCAACCATGGGAGAAGTCAGCCACTCGACGAGTTGAGGGTGGCCTCTCGCTGGAGTCAGTGCACGGCGATGTGGAAGAGACCCGAGACGAGCTGCTGCGCGCGATCAACGCCGTCCAGGCCAAGGCCGACCAGATGGTATCTGCTTCATCGGACCTCGCCACGACTGTCAAGTCTCCCTATGACGGGATGGCCAAGAGAATGGAGCAGCGCTTCGTGGAGACGCACAAGACGGTGGACGAGCACGCCTCCAGAATCACAAAGCTCGAAGGTCAAGCGCAGCATCTTCTACAATGCCTCGGGGTAGTTCAAGCAGATCGTCCACCTCCGAAGGAGATTGACCCGTCCTCTGAGAGGGAGGTCTATGAGACGATCATCATCGTTCGCTCGAGGGTACTCATAGTGCCCCAGGGCCTGGCGGGGTCCCTGACGCGGGTTGGAACAACCATCCCTGTGGGGCTCACATCATTGTAAAGGCTTTCGAATGGCTTCTCTCGGGGCGACTTCTATCTCCGACGTTCAATGACATCAGGGGCGCGCCCAGTCCGAAGGGGGCCGAGGATGACGATCACGAGGGAGCGACGCCCCGATATGCGGCCTCCACGAGGCCATCGTGGCTCAAGAACACCTCCAACAAGATTTTCACTGCGGTTGTTATCCACAGCCTCGGGAACGCCACCGGTAAGTTCGTGCACTTTACTCAGAGGGGATTTGCCCCCGGACGGAATTTTGGCTTCAATATTCTTGAGATGGACACGCAGTCGCGACTGGTGTCGACGTTGCCATCTGGATCAATCAATTTGCCAGCTCTTGTCACCTTTGATTACGGTCAGGTTTCCCCTTCCACCTCACACGCATATCTTTTTCGTGTTCTCGAATGTCTCGGGTTGCCCGAGCCCTTGATGCGGTTTCTGGCGGCGATCTACGATGGGATCATGCGGTTTGGCGTGGCAGGCCATGAAAAGCGCGCGCTCCACCCCATCACCAGCGGAGTTATGCGAGGGTCCCCTGCCTCAGGGGTGTTGTGTGCGATGGCGTCTCATCCGTTCTTGGTTCATATGTACGAGGTGGTGGACTCTGCCTCTGGGATGCTGAGTTGCGCCCGTGCTTGCGCAGATGGCGTCGGCGGGGTTGTTCATGAACTTCGTTATCTGATGGCCTTCAAAGAAATCTTTGCTGCGAGTGAAAGAACCGCTGGGCTGATACTAAAAATTCGGAGATGCTTTATTGTGCCGCTGATTGGGAAGTTGTCTCCTGATGTGGTTGCTAAGTACAAAGATTGGCTACAACTGTGGCTGCCAGAATGGAGTGGATTTCAGATTGTGGATGCTGCTCTGCACCTTGGCACTATTCTGGGACATGGTGCTGGAGGTCGAAGTTAGCAGGCCCCACTTCTGGAGTGGGCGAGGCGGGCCTCTGCGACCAGCGCTGCCAAGTGCCCTGCCGCGGTCACGACATAGCCGTACAGTAAGCGTTGTGTCTCTGTCCTCTCTTACGTTGCCCAAGGCCCCCCTCGCCCTTCTGATCCCCCCTGTCTCTCTGCCCCCACGCTTCGCGTTGAGCATGCTTTGTTCTCGTCCCTGTTCAACGCTCCCTTCTGCTGCCTCTCGAGAGCTGGATGGTTCGAGCTGGCGACATGGGGAGGTCCCTCTCTTGCGTCTGTCCAGGCGATGCGCATGAGTGCTCTCATGCGTGCGGCGTTGGTCACACACCCCGAATGGCAGACCCTGCGTAGTTAGCTAGAGCAGGCGAGGGACAGATTACCTTTGGCTGATATTGCTGCTGGCCGTTTATCTCCCGATTTCTGGGACGGAGAGCCACTGGTGGCTAACCTCCGTCTGGCTTCTCGAGGCTTCGAGTCTGTTCCCAGAGTAAAAGCTGCTGGAGCCGCGGGCCTGAGGAGAGCTCGCCATCTCCTCCGCCCTCCCTGCGCGAGTGCCGATGCTGCTTCTGCTTCTCCCTCGCCCCCCAAGCCAGCCAAAATCCAAGGTCAGATCTGTTCCGAAATTCGAGCTGCGCTGCGCCCAGCCAGTCTAAAGACCCAGTTTGCTTCCCGTCTTCGTGCGCGCCGGCCTGAGAAGGCTGCGAAAATCCGAACTATAGACTGGCAGGTGCACCAGCAACTGATGCAGCGAGTGCCGTTCCATATCGCGCAAGCGGTCTGGAAAACGTCGGCTGGCGCCTGGGCCACCTCTGAACGAGTTCAATGAAGCACCTGTAAGGTGTATTCTAGGATGTGGTGGCCGCGACGATGTCAAACACTACTTCTCGCAACGTGCGAGGTTCAAGCCTCTCTGGTCCACCATTGTCGGTTATGGTCTTCCTGAGTGTCCCATCGCTTCGTTCGGTTTCTTTGCTGGCCCTCCGCGTGTTAACGTCCTTGGTCTTCCCGCTGCTTGCTGCCTATCTCTTGCGCACTCTCGCTCGAGTTCGGTTCTCTGCAGCTGGGCCACTTTCAACTTCCCAGGCTGCTGCGCTCGCGCCGCAGGCACGCGCCCCACTGCGGCGCGGGCGAGCGCGGAGCTAAGACATCGTGGCGCGCAGCTACGTGCGAGGAGGAGGAGGAGGAGGAGGAGGAGGAGGCAAAGTAGGAACGGGAGGAGGAGGTCAGTGGAGAACGTAGTAGGGAGAGGTGGCTGGAGGGGATGGGAGGAGGAGACGGGGGCGGAGAAGAAACGAAGGAGGAGTAGGTGGAATTGGAGGAGGCCGAAGCACAGGAAGAGGAGGAGGATGCTCAGAGGCCAATAACATAGATGAACTTTTGTTTTGCACAGTGGTCCTGCTCTCACGCATCGTCGATCCTCAAGGTCACGTCCTCGAAGTCTGGCCTTGATTCAGTTCAGGACTTTAGAGGTCTCGAGGTTTGGGCCGCACCTTCCTATCCGCCCTCTGCTGACCTCTCTCGGCGATGCGCAGAGGGGTGTGGCGCGAGGGGCACGCCTTCTTCGAAGTCTCCTCTCTCCTCCTCCCTCCCTCCTCCCTTGTCACTTTCTCCGCCTCACTCTTCCCCGCTCCGTCCTTAACCCTCCTCCCTCCTCCCTATCTCTCCTTCGCTCCCTCCTCCCTCGCCCCGCTTCCCGCCTCACTAAGAATTGAAGGCGGTCCTCCTTTGAAAAGTGGAATGTCCTAAGTTCCTGTTTTTACGTGTTGTCCCATCCATGCATCTATGCGCCTGGCGCGAGCTTGTTCCACTAAGCGCCCGCGCATCCTCCATCCCTCGCTTTCCGTTACTCTTATATCTGTCTCTCTATCTCCTCTTGGGCTCCCTCCTCCTCCCGTCCCCCAAGAGGCCCCGGGGAGGCCCCAAGAGGCGCCCTCAAGAGCCTCCAAGAAGGCTTCCTTGAAGCCTCCAAAAGGGCCGACGCGTGTTGGTGCAGCTGGATCCGCCGATATTTCGTCTAGAATGCATGCGAAACGCGCGCGATGTTTCCAGTATACATGTATATAAGAGTGTATCCTCTCGCACGACACGAACACGAAACCGAAACCGATTTCTCAGTGGGAGGCCTCCGTTCCACTTTGAAGTTTACCCCCAAATTCCGATATGCAAATATTTAAGCAAGATTACATTGGCGCGTCGCGCCATGCACCTTATTTCCGACGCTTCCCCGAAATAAATGTATGTGATCGTTTGCTTCAGCACAGGGGGTCTGAAGGTCGGGTTGGGCGATTTGTTGAGTTTTTTGATATGTTTGGTGACTGTGATCGTTCAGCGCGCTTGCGCGATTTTGCACTGGAGCGGGGAGAATATAGGAACTTGTTGGGACCCTGAGGACCCTCCCAAAGGGAGTCTGGCACGTCCTCGGGGTCAAGGATTTGGGGGTCCGGTTTAGGCGGGCCTTCTGTGGGTCGTCGTCGGGCGTTTTGGGAGGGTGTCTGGGGCCGCATGGGGCCTTCGTGGCGCTGTTCGGTCGCCTGCTGGACCGTTTCGGGCCCATTTGCCAAGCTCTGCAGGGGCGTCCAACCGCCCAGAAGGCCCCCGGGACCCTCCGAAAGGGCGTCTGGGGCGTCCTTGGGGCCATGGATCCCGGAGGTCCGGCTTAGGGGGGGCAGGGGGGGAGTTCGGGTAGTGAATAGGAATATAAGAATACATACCTACCTACGTCCGTACATACATGCACACAGACATACATGCAGGCAGACAGTCATACAGACATGCAGGCATACATACATGCATGCATACATCTGAATTTGCAAATACGCATGTGTGTATATATATATATGTGTGTGTATGTACGCATGTGAGAATCAGCGCTCATGCGCCGAACAGGTCGGCGTCGATCACGGACTTGCGCCGCTCTTACTTCGTCTGGAACCTCGCCGATTGCACCAGCAGCGACGGAGAGGACAGCCCTGGCACAGCCATGCCTCGCCCTCAGCGAACACGTGGTCTTTTCTGGAAGATTATTATTTGTGTCGGGTGGTTTTCGGCCTATCCCAACACCGTGCTTGTGTCGTAGACAAGAGGTCTCTTGGTGGAGACACAGGGGTCTCTGGGAAAGGCCTCCTGGAGGACCTCTTGACGACACTTGTGGGGTCTCTTGGGAGCATTGTGGGGGCCTCTCGGGTCCTCTTGCGGGCCTCTTGAGGGCGTGCTGGCGGTCTCGGGGGCCATCTTTGGGGAAGGGCTCGAAATTTCAGTTTGGTCTCCCCCTCTCGGAGCCGTCTTGTGCTCTCTTGCGCGCCTCCTGGGCCGTCTTGGGGTCCTCTTGGGTGTTCCCTGGGCCGTCTTGGAGTCCTGTTCGTTGGCCGTCTTGAGGCGATCTTGGCATCCTGGGCCGTCTTGAAGCCTTCTTGAGGTGTCTTGGAAAGTCTTGGGGCTTCACTGGGGCTTCCTAGGCAGGCCTGGACAATTCGGGTGCCGTTGTGGGCTGGGCGGCGAAGACGTCCAGGAGGGAGCGCCTGGGAAATCCTGGCGAACGCTTCGATGCCTTCAACACGTCGAGCTGTATAAGCCTTGGCGCACTCCACTTCGTGCTGAAGCTTGTTTGAAACTTCCTGGGGCCCCTCGTCGCCACGACTGCATCCGCCCCGACACTTTGGCCAGAGCGCACCCCAGGGCAGGTCTGGGAGGCGACCTGCAGGCCCAGGTTCTCTGGCTCTCTTCCCAGACATGATCGCGTCGTAAAAAAAGTCAGGATGAAGGTTTTTCCCTGTCTTCGGCCTGTGGAGGCCCTCGTCGGGCCCTGGGACCGTCAAGAAACGACTCGGGATGAAAAACTCGTCCCTGGGGAAAGGACGGGACATCCGGGGACCGCGTATTGAAAAATCAGGACGTCGCATGTCTGGTTTGGCTTCGTCGCGACCACTGTTTCGCCTGTTTTCGGGCCTCTCTGGGCTTCCCTGGGGCCCCTCGCCACCACGGCCGGGCCCCGCAGACACTCTGGCCACAGAGCGCACCGCAGGGCAGCCGGCTACACTGGACAGAGACCTCTTTGCCGGATTGACATTTGGTGCGCGGCTTCGGGAGCCCTGAGATGGGGGTACGTTCGGCCAGAGCGCCAGATGTTGCAGATCCTGCAGGGCCAGGGTCGCATTGACCCGGGTTTGGGTGCAGGCTCCCGCAGGATTATGCAGGATCTTGCAAGATCCTGCAAGGCCCGACTGACCCGGGTTTGGATGGGCCCGGGTTAGATCCCCGACGGCTCTCGGGGGGAGCGGGGGGATGCAAACCCAAGCACGCGGGCCGCTAGTGCCACATCGCGTGCAAGGACCGGCAAGCCTCGCACCAAAGGTCACACTCTTGCATATGGCCATACCCTTGCGGGTAGCTACGGCTTCGGCCTCGGCCCTCGCTCTTCCCCTGATCTCACCGAGCGCGTTCCACTACTCGCAAAGTGCCTACTCGCAAACGTCCGAACAAAAAAAAAACATGCCTGCACCAATGTATGATGTATCGTACAACCCCCCATGGCGGATCCAGGCCATTTGCGAACAGTTGCTCTGTGAATAGTGGAACGTGCTTGTCTATGATCTTTCTGCCCTTCCTGCCTCGGCCTTCGCCTCTGCCCCTTCTCTCGCCTCGCTGCCGAGCCTGAGGAGGAGGAGCAGGAGGAGAAGCAGGAGGAGGATGGCCTTCGGAAGAATCTGCGTGGCGACGCCCCCGCTAGCGCGCAGGCCCTCTGCGTGCCTGCGTTCCTGCTGCATGTGCTCCTGCTGCCACGCGCCTCCTGCGGCGGCTGTCTCAGCGCCGCACGAGGCGCGTGACCGCCTGATTCGGTGCCGGGAGCGGAGAAGAAAAAGAAGAAGAAGGAGAAGGAGCAGCGCGTCGATCGGGAAGAGACCCCGCGCCGAGGCTCTGCCAGTGTCGGCAGCAGCTCGGCGCCCGGCTGCTGACGGACGGCGTCAACGACGGCGCCTGGGAGGAGGGCAAGGACGAGGAGGTCCTTTCGGCGGCGATCGAGGGGAGGAAGTGAGAAGGAGAAGGCCTTTTCAGAAGGCTAGGAAATCCCCCAGCCTTCTGGGAAGTTTCTACGTCCCCCCGAAGACGCAAAGAATTGTTCAAAAGGCGCGAGGGCTTCTGAGAAGCCCCGCCGCCTTCTGAGAGGGCTTTCTCCTTCTCATGTCCCCTCTTTCGCTCGCCGCCAATCCCTGGGAGGCACCAAGTGCCTGCGTGCACCGACGCGAGGCCCAGCAGACCAGGGACTCCTGGGGGAGCATAGACTTGGCACCGCTCGGACGTGCGCATGTTTTCTCGGCGACGACCATCGAGGAGCATCCTGGCGCACCTAGCCAACAAAAGGAAAAAGGAAAATAGCGAGAATCAACAACAACAACAACAACAACAACAACAACAACAACAACAACAACAACAACAACAACAACAACAGCAACGACAACGACAACAACAATAACAACAACAACAACAACAACAACAACAATCATTTCAATACTGTTCGCTCTTATTTGCTCGCGTGTCATTCAGTATGCATATCCCAAGCCCTGGATACCGCCCTCTTCGTCTTCGATCGTACCCCCTTTTGGGGGGTATATTCGTTCCCTGCCACGTGTGGTTGGTGAAGCCCTTGAAAACGAAGGGTAACAGAGAACGGGGGAGAACGAGGACGAAGGGATCGGAGGAAGGGAGGGGAAGGGCAAGAAAGATGGAGGACGATGATTTGCGCTGCGAGTGGCGATTCAGCTTGCGCCATGGCTTGCGCCAGCCACTCCAACACAGGTTCACAATAAGTTTCGCCATGGGTCGCGCCATAAACAGTGCCACGTACCCCCCCTTGCAAGAACAGATTGTGGATACCCCCACGGGGGGACGCACAGCTGCGAACTGGTCTCAGAAACAGGTTTCGCGGAACCCTGAAAAGAAGCGGGATGTTGGGAGAGCGGGGCGGAAGGATAATGAGAGCTGCAACCGTGTCGAGAGGAGCGCGGGGATGTGGAGTGAATTGGGATGGAGTGGACAAGAGTAGGGTCTCCGGAGGAGGAGCGGCAAGGAGTGGAGACGAGGGACCGGGAGGAGTGCGGAGAAGCGGGGGGCGCACGGAGGAATCTGGAGGACGGAATGGGAATAATTTGGAAGAAATGCGGAATGCGAGCGGGAAGGGGTAGAGGTTGTTGGGGTGGGATGGGGTGGCCTGGGGAGGAGCGGGCGGAATGCGAAGAACTGGGGAATAGCACAGTTGAGTACGAACGAAACGAAAATGAATATCAAGGGAAATAGTAGAGAAGACTGGGAAAGAACGTTGGAAAGCGGGGGCAGGTGGATACGAGCGGAGAGCGGTGTGGAAACAAGGCGCGGGGGGATTGGAAGGCACCCGAAAGCTTCCTATGACTTCTGGAGGGCCTCGGACAGGCCCCGATGACCACCGAGCAGTTCCAGAGGCTCCGAAAACCTGCGGGAACGCCCCGGGGGCCTCGTCGAGGGAGGCCTTCATTCGAAGCCTGCAGAAGAACCTGGGCCAGTGGAACACGCGCGTCTCCAGCGAAGTCCCAAGCGAGAGCGCGATTCTTCAATAAGTTGTGAGGAAGTATCAAGCGGGAGCCGCGATCCGGCGGTAAATTGCAAGGAAGTCCCAAGCGAGAGCGCGATTCTTCAATAAATTGTGAGGAAGTATCAGGTGGGAGCCGCTGTTGTTGTAAACCGGGGGCCAACAACGCAGTTTGGCCTTCGAGACTTCCCCAATAAGAAACAGGGTGCGAGCCCCGAGAAGGGTACCTCCATCGAAAAAAACAATGTGCACCGGACGGGGGGGATCAACAAAAATTATTCTTCAGAAGTGAGAACAACAACAACAACAGCATAATCATTTTAAGACTGCCCGCTCTTCCTGGCACGCGTGTCCTGCGTTCCGTATACCCCAACCCTCGATACCCGCCCGCTTCGTCTTCGATTGCACCCCCTTTCGGGGGGAATATCTTCCTTGTCGGTCACTGACTGAAGCGCGGAGAAGTCTCTAGCGAGAGCCATTGTCCTCGTGGTTGGGCCTCCGCCAACTTAATTGACTTGCGAGCAAATTCTCGAGCGAGAGCGCCGTTCCTGAATTCGGGGGCCTCTCTGGCCAAGGTGTCTCGGGGTAAAATGTGAGGAAGAGTCGAACGGGAGCCGTTATTGTCGTAGCTGGGCTTCCAAGGGCCAACATTTAGGTTCAAGCCATCGCTCGAGCGGGAGCCTCGTTTTCAGAGAAAATGCAGCCGGCGTCGAAGCGAGAGCGCGCGGAACCGCTTCCAGAGATTAACAATAATTCCGCTACCGCGGAACACCACATGTTTATATTATGGCTGGAGTGATGATACCTGAAATGAAGACTGTGAGAATGAGGTTGGTGGCCGTTGCCCCGCCGATACCGTTGCGCCCTGGACGACCGTCACGGAAAGCGGCCGCAGTGAGAGACCACCCCCTGCGCATTTCCTACGGCGTCGAGAATATGCCATGCTTGCTGTGCCCTGGACGACCGTCACGGATAGCGGCCGCGGTGAGACACCACCTTTTGCGCACCCCCCTTCGGCGTCGAGAATATGCCATGCCTGCTGTGTCCTGGACGACCATCAGCGGCCACGGTGAGAGACCACCCCGTGCGCACCCCCTATGGTGTCGAGAATATGCCATCCCTGTTGTGCCCTGGACGACCGTCACGGATAGCGGCCGCGGTGAGACACCACCCCCTGCGCACCCCCGATGGTGTCGAGAACATGCCATGCCTGCTGTGCCCTGGACGACCGTCACGGATGGCGGCCGCGGTGAGAGACCACCCCTTGCGCACCCCCTTACGGTGTCGAGAATATTCTTTGCCTGCTGTGCCCTGGACGACCGTCACGGATAGCGGCCGCGGTGAGAGACCACCCTCTGCGCACCCCCTATGGTGTCGAGAATATGTAATGCCTGCTGTGCCCTGGACGACCGTCACGGATAGCGGCCGCGGTGAGAGACCGCACCCTGCGCACCCCGTACGGTGTCGAGAATATGCCATGCTTGCTGTGCCGTGGACGACCGTCACGGATATCGGCCGCGGTAAGACCGCACCTTGCGCACCCCCTTACGGTGTCAAGAATATACCATGCCTGCTGTGCCCTGGCGACCATGACGGATAGCGGCCGCGGTGAGAGACCACCACCTACGCACCCCCCTTTGGCGTCGAGAATATGCCATGCTTGTTGTGCCCTGGACGACCATCAGCGGCCGCGGTGATAGACCTCCCCTGCGCACCCCCTACGGTGTCGAGAATATGCCATGTCTGCTGTGCCCTGGACGACCGTCACGGATAGCATCCGCGGTGAGAAACCACCCACCCCCTATGGTGTCGAGAATATGCCATGCCTGCTGTGCCCTGGACGACCGTCACGGAAAGCGGCCGCAGTGAGAGACCACCCACTGCGCACCCCCTATGGTGTCGAGAATATGCCATGCTTGCTGTGCCCTGGACGACCGTCACGGATGGCGGCCGCGGTGAGAGAGACCACCCCTTGCGCACCCCCTTACGGTGTCGAGGATATGCCATGTCTGCTGTGCCTGAACGACTGGGGCGTATAAAGACCATGGTGAGAGACCACCCCCTGCGCACTCCCTGTGGAATCGAGAAAGTGCCACGCCTGCTTTGCGTGGACGATTGGGGCGTGCTGTGCCTGTGCTGTGCTGTGACATTATGTGCTGTGCTGCGGTCTGCTGTGCTGTGTTGTGCTGTGCTTTGCTGTGCTGTGTGAGAAGGAGAAGGACGAGGGGAGGGGTGAGGAGACGCCGGTGCGACGCGGGAAGGAAGAAAACCAGAACCCCATTAAGCATGTGGGGAGTTATTAATTTGAAATGAGTATCACTTGCAGCAACAACAACAACAACAACTGTAACAACAACAACAACAACAACAACAACAACAACAACAACAACAGCAGCAACAGCAACAACATCAGCAGCAACAACAACAACAGCAACAACAACAACAACAAGAATCATGTTAAGACTGTTTGCTCTTATCTGTTCGGGTGTCCGTTAACGCATATTTCCCAAACCCTCGATACCCGCCGTCTTCGTTTTCGATATTACCCCTTTTGGGGGGTATACTTTTCTTCCCTGCAGGCCGAGCCCCGGCAAGCGGCGGGGCGGCCGCGGACCGTCGGCCTGGCCAGCGGCAGCGCTGATCGGCGGCAACCCGACCCCAAGAGGGACGGACAGGGGACCGACCACGACGACGACGACGACGACGACGACGACGACGACGACGAGCGAAAGCGAGAGCGAGAGAGAGAACGACAGCAGGGCCACGCAGGCCATGAAGTAGGCCGCGAAGGGCGCCAGCGGGGACACGAAGGGAATGCGTATGGGGCCACGGAGAACGCGAACGAGCGGGGGCCACGAAGGGCAGATAATGCGGGGCCACAAAGAGCAACGACCGCGCCACTCAGGGTAGCAACTGGGCCACGTAGGACAGCGAGGGGGCCACTAAGGGCGACAGCGGGGCCACGAAGGGCACGCACATGGGGCCACGACGGGCGCGAACGAGCGGGGGCCACGAAGGACATGCGTATATCGGGCCGCGGAGGGCAATGACGGGGCCACCGAGGGCAGCAACGGGGCCACGAAGGGCAGCGAGGGGGCCGCGAAGGGCGACGGCGGGGCCACGAGGGGCATGCATATGGGGCCACGACGGGCGCGAACGAGCGGGGGCCACGAAGGGCATGCATTTATGGGGCCACGAAGGGCAGCGAGGGGGCCACGATTGGCTGCAACGGGGCCACGGAGGGCAGCGAGGGGGCCACGAGGAGCTGCAACGGGGCCACGGAGGGCAGCGAGGGGGCCACGAAGGATTACAATGGGGCCACGAAGGGCAGCGAAGGGGCCACGAAGGGCTGCAATGGGGCCACGAAGGGCAGCGAGGGGGGCCACGAAGGGTTGCAACGGGGCCACGAGGGGCAGCGAGGTGGCCGCGAAGGGTTGCAT